AATTTTCCAAATAAACTTATTTTTATTCAACTATGTATAATTTATAATTTTTTATAGGACTGCATTGGTTTGATAGATGGCACACACGTCGACGTGGTTTTACCTAGTGACCTAGTTGCACGGTTTAGAGGGCGAAAATGGGTCACCCAAAACATCTTAGCAGCATGCACCCCCAATAAACTATTTACTTATGTATTGGCTGGCTGGGAGAGGGCAGCAAATGATTATAGGGTATTACAAGACGCCCTGTCCAGACCACAGCCTTACGGGCTCTGAGTTTATGATGGTATTCATTCTCACTTGTGCACATTATGAATAATTTATTAACTACTTGGCAATATTTTAGATTTTAAAATACTGTTTAATTAATGTAGGTAAATATTACCTATGTAACGCTGGATACACCACAATGCCAGGTTTCATATCCCCGTATCGTGGTGTCCGATATCATTTAAAAGAGCACACCGGTAGGACACCAAAGAATAGGAAGGAGTTGTTCAATTTAAGGCATTCATCTTTAAGATCAAAAATTGAATGCACATTTGGGATACTGAAGAATCGGTTTAAAATTCTTGCGGCGAAGCCGAATTATCCATTTCCCACTCAAGTGGACATTGTACTAGCGTGTACTGTGTTGCACAACTTTATTGCCTTGGAGGATCCGACTGATGATATTTTCAATGAAAATGTTGAAATTGATGAAGATACTGGGGAAGAGACAAATGAAGACGATTCAAATGCGGTGGACTATACTCAAAGTAGGACACAAAGAGAGGATCGAGATGTTAGAAATGAATGGAAGGAGATGCGAGATCAAATTGCTTGGGCGATGTGAGTGGATTATTGTGCAAAGTACAATGGTGGTAACACAATGGAGAGTGGTTTAACTTAGTGTAGCATCTGTTCTATGGCTATGTAATAACTTGGTGAATTTTAAAATACTGTTCGCATCGATATTGTTTATTATTTTTTTGATTGTACCAAAACATTACTACTTTTATCGGTTGCCCTTTTTTTATGTTGTTTGAACCAGAAATATCATCGTTACGTATATTCCTTGATAAATGCATTCATATCCCATATTGTTTTATATTTCTTTATTGTTAATATGAATATGCTTACAAAATATATTAGGTATGGCTAACAATCCGGCAGATAAGCAAAGCGTGCCTTCTCATTCGAATGCAATGTCAAATCCTACATCAGGGATTAACATGAACTGCATGCCTGTTCGGCCACAGCCATTCACCTCACCTCCGCATACATTCTCACCATTCCCACCATGGGATGGTAATTATGGTGGGATGACACAGCCGCCAATGTCATACATGAGCATGTTAGGCAGTCCACAAGGTTTGATGTTTCCCACAGCCAGTTCTCAAAGTAGTGGACCTAATCAATTTTCACCAAACACCGGTGATTCAGTTGGAAAGGATATTCATGACGTTGATGGTGCGGAGCACACTTCGCCATTGAAAAGAGGGAAAAGATTAGCCCATAAAAATAAGGTTCCGTGTGCCAGGTTGAACTCAAGAGGCGTGGCTAATAAGTTTTGGCTTCCAGAGCACGATGATGTGCTTATTCCTTATCTTGCAGATTTAGCATTGGATGGCATGAAGCCAGACAAGAACTTCAAGGCTGAAGCTTATAAAATGGCTGCCATGAAAATCAACATGCAATTCAGGACTGATTTCACTCACCTGCATGTCATTAACCACTTGAAATGTTTGCGGAACAAATTCAATGACATGAAAGCTTGCCTTGATATAAGTGGTGCTGGGTGTGATGAAACAAGTAAAATGATTACATTGGATGAGGAAACCTTGAAATCTTGGGCCCAGGTATAACAATTCAGCATCTATCTTGTCACATTCAATTTAATACATTTGATTCTCTGGATTTATAAGTATTTATTATTGCAGGACAAATCCAATTCTAAGTACAAAGCGTACATAAACAAACCCCTTCCTCACTTCAAAAATTTACAAGTTATCATGGGTGATGATCAAGCCAAGGGTGATTTTGTTAGGCCCGTGTACGCTAACATTGGGTCTAGTAGGTCCATACCTATTCCCGATGATGATTGCGAGATTCTAGAGGAGAGTGACACTGAACCACAGTCTGATGCTTGCAACCAACCACGTTCTAGTGCTGTTAACCAACCACAACCCACTACATATAAGACTAAGAGTAAAGACAATATGACTTCATCATCTAACAAAAAAACCAAAAAATCTAATCGTGAAGAGGAAATGCTATGTGCCTTTGTTGAGTCCATGTCTCAGTCAATGAGAAATCAACACGTTATACACTGGACTGAGCAGTTAGCTACAGGTTGAAGGAACATAGGTCTGAATATTCCGAGGAGTTCCTCGATAGGGTTTTAGACTATTTATATGACAATGAACGTGAAGCTAGGAGGTTTTTCATAAAATCCAAGGAAGGTCAGCAGAGGTACATCACAAAATTAGTTAACGACCAAGGTTGGCCGGATAGCTAGTTTGTTGGGTTTCGATTATATTTTGATGGATATTGTTGTGTTAATTGCAAACTATTAATGTTGCAATATATATTTTTATTATGAAGAACATCTATGTCGTTGTGGGATTGATGAATTGGTATATTTGCAATCTGGTTGGTTTGTGCCTGTTTTTTGCTTTGTGCAGCTCATGCTGCTGCTGCTGGTTGGTTTGTGCCTGTTTTGAGCTTTGTGCAGCTCATGCTGCTGCTGGGGTTTTGTTGCTTGACTGTTTTGAGCTTTGTTGGGGATGTGCCTGTTATCTAACAATTTGTGCAGCTCATGCTGCTGCTGGGGTTTGTTGCTTGACTGTTTTGAGCTTTGTGCAGCTCATGCTGCTGCTGCTGGTTAGTTTGTGCCTGTTTTTTGCTTTGTGCAGCTCATGCTACTGCTGCTGGTTGGTTTGTGCCTGTTTTGAGCTTGTGTGCAGCTCATGCTGCTGCTCCTGGTTGGTTTGTGCCTGTTTTTTGCTTTGTGCAGCTCATGCTGCTGATGCTGGTTGGTTTGTGCCTGTTTTGAGCTTTGTGCAGCTCATGCTGCTGCTGCTGGTTGGTTTGTGCCTGTTTTTTTCTTTGTGCAGCTCATGCTGCTGCTGGTGGTTGGTTCGTGCCTGTTTTGAGCTTGTGTGCAGCTCATGCTGCTGCTGCTGGTTGGTTTGTGCCTGTTTTTTGCTTTGTGCAGCTCATGCTGTTGCTGCTGGTTGGTTTGTGCCTGTTTTGAGCTTTGTGCAGCTCATGCTGCTGCTGCTGGTTGGTTTGTGCCTTTTTTTGCTTGTGTGCAGCTCAGTTTGTGCCTGTTTTTTTGCTTTGTGCAGCTCATGCTGCTGCTGCTGGTTGGTTCGTGCCAGTTTTGAGCTTGTGTGCAGCTTATGCTGCTGCTGGTTGGTTTGTGCCTGTTTTTTGCTTTGTGCAGCTCATGCTGCTGCTGCTGGTTGGTTCGTGCCTGTTTTGAGCTTGTGTGCAGTTTATGCTGCTGCTGCTGGTTGGTTTGTGCCTGTTTTCAGCTTGTGCAGCATTTGCTGCAGCTGGGGTTTGGTGCTGTGGGTTACTTGTTGTTTTGGTTTGCCTTGCCTGTGGTTTTCCTTGCACTTGATATGTGGCAATGATGATGATCAACGTTTTCTGAGAATGCAATCTAACTTACATCGTTTATTATATCCAGATGAGGCAAAAGGGGATGAGATTGCAGCCTACATTGAATTCACAATGTCTAGGCGAGGCAATTCATCCTTATAATGCAATCTGTAATAAACATGTTTAAGTTATAGATGGGGCAATCAATGATGACAAGTTGATCTATTACTGAGCCATACAATATCAATTAGAATTTGTACCCAGTTCAAACAACAGTTTTCATTACACCCTCAGTAGTTTTTGCAAGTACAGGTACATGACATACAACAGTTTTCATTACACCCTCAGTAGTTTTTGCAAGTACAGGTACATGACATGAAGTTTGTAATAATTTAAATAACACAAAAAATTGCTAAGAAAATTGCAGAAATTTTCCAAACTAGTAGTTGCTTTTCGACAAGTCTCAATTCTTTCTTCAGCTTCTTTGATTGCAAAATATATTTTTCTCCGTACCTATTTTCTTTGACATATTGGCTTCCTTGGTTGCTTGATGACTCTCCTCTTTCTTCAGCCCATTCGAAAAAATTGCATTCTTTATTTGGGAATTTTGCACACCCCCAATAACACCTACCCTTATTTTTACCATTCTTGCACACTTTCATCGGTGTTCGGAGATGGCAGTCGCAATAAACTTCATAATTCTGCCAGCACTCTTCTGATATCATTTTCATGTTGGGGCAGCAAATTGAAGACAATGGGAATTTTATAAATGCTGAAAATGAGAATGTTTGGATTATTTGTGAGGCCTCAAGGTGAATTTATAGCCACATTGGCCCTCTACTAGCCGTTGCTACAGTGTTCTGACTATGTTTTTTGAAATCTGAAAGTTGAAGCTGATAATATCCGTTGCTACAGTGATTCCAGCAAGAAAATATAATTTTTGGTGGCTTCTAGCCGTTGCTACAGTAGTTTTTAAATGTTAAAGAGGTTCTCTGTTGCTACAGTATCTACTCCCAAAAAAGGGTCTTTTTGAAGCAAACATGGTATTAGGAATTGAACCAATTCTATAAAAGTGAGATTCCTAATCCTTTGGGTGAAACAAACATAGAATGCCAAAAAAATAGGATTCCATAAAACTATTACTTGTCTATAAAAATTTTAAGGATTAGGTTGGAATCCATAAATAAAATAGGATTCCTAATCCTATTCCTAGCCTCTATTGAACCAAACAGCCCCTAAGCAATTCAATGATGTGGAGGACCAATCTCAATGTACGAAAGATGTGAGGGACTAATACGAAAAACCCGAAGAAAAGCCCAGAATTTTGAAAATGTCAGCACAAGGGGAGGAAGAAATAAGAGCAGGGTGGATCCAAATGGAGCACTGCGACTTGAAGCCCGAACCCGAATATGATGAGCTCCTCCTCTCAGCAGCAGCAGCAGCAGCGACGGTGATGGTCGGATCTCTCGGTCCCTCTCTTCATCGGCCTCATCGTCGTCGCCGAGATCGCGTTCCTCGGCCGCCTCGACTTTGCCGTCGTCGAGAACTGGACCAACTCCTTCTATTTCCCTTCCTCGATCACGGAGGAAACAACGACGGCGACGACGACGACGAATCCTTCGTCTTCGATTTCTTCCTCGTTCGCTGAGACGATTGATGTTGGTGATGATGCCGATGAGGGACGCAGATGCGAGCAGTGGCTGGAGAGAAAGGATGCGGTTCCGTATTCTAGGGATTTTAGATCCCACCCGGTTCTAGTCTCCGGGGCTGACGAGGTTTTGCTCTCAAAATTTTGTTTTGGGCATTTTTTTTGTTGTTGTCTTTGGTAGTAACATTTCCAATACAATTGCTATAGTTTCCTCTTTTTTTTTTCCGAAAAGAGTTAGATAGTTATAGTTATATATGGTTTAAAGCCGTGCATTATTCAAAGATTAGCCAGGCATGTTTATGTTGTGTTGTTAGGTGTGAGGGATTTAGGTTTGCATTTAGGAAATATAGACAAATTCTTCTACATATCTCGTATTCATATCCCTACACA